ATGTGCCACTAATGCCATTATGATTCTGAAGGAATCCTTACATGAGACTGGAGAAAAGGTCTCATTGTAATCAATCCCTTCTCTTTGTGTAAAGCCTTTTTGCCACAAGTTGGGCTTTATATCTCTCTATATTCCCTTGAGAGTCAAGTTTTGTTTTGTAGACCTATTTACAGCCTATTATTTTGGCCTCTTTAGGAATTATCTCCAAATCCCAAACTTTATTTGCATTCATTGATCTCAATTCATCTTCCATGGCCTCAAGCCACTTTGATGAATGATCACTTTTCATGGCTTCTTCAAATGAGGTCGGATCATCCTCCATTTGAAATTCTTCAGTGTTGTACACTTCATAATCAGCAGGAATAGCTGATTTTCTAACTCTTTGATACCTTCTAGGGGCCTCCTCATTTGGCACATTTTCTGTTTGAGGCTGTTGTTGCTCCCCTCATGTATGGCAATAGTTTCTATATGATCCTGAGAAACAGGTTCCTCATCATCATTCATTGTTGCCATAGGCGGGATAACAACAGGTGCTGGCACCATAGTGTCTTGTACTGTCGGTGCAGCAACAGCAGGTAGTGAGAAAAATGGCTCATGAATTATCGGAGTGGGCGCATACACCCGCTTCTCTTCAAGGTCAATTTCTTGAGCTATCATGCTCCCCCTCATCATTTTATCCTCTAGGAAGACAGCGTGTCTCGTTTCCATAAACTTTGTATGTCTATCTGGACAGTAGAAACGAAAACCTTTTGATTTTTCTGGGTAGCCAATGAAATGACAACTTACTGTTTTGGGATCTAGCTTCCCAATATTTGGGTTAAAAACTTTAGCCTCAGCAGGGCTCCCCCACACACGTAAGTGGTTAAGTGAGGGTACTCTTTCTGTCTAGAACTCATACGGTGTTTTGGGCACCGACTTACTTGGTACTCTATTGAGAATATGAATGGCGATTTTTAACGCCTCCATCCACAGACTCATCGGTAAAGTGGAGTAACTTATCATACTACGCACCATATCCATCAGGGTACGGTTACGCCTTTCAGCTACTCCATTCTGCTGAGATTCGTCCGATGTTGAATACTGGGCGACTATACCATTCTCCTATAAGAACCTTGCAAAAGGTCCAGAACTTGTCCATAAGGGGTATGCCGACCGTATTACTCCCCCCACGGTCAGACCTGACTATCTTAATCTTTAAATCATGCTGATTTTCAACTTCTGCTTTAAATATTTTGAATTTATCCAACGCTTCTGTTCTTTCTTTAATTGAATAAATGTAGCCATAACGGGAGTAATCATCTGTGAATGTTAAGAATGAATCAAAACCATCCACTCTTTATAGGAAAAGAACCATAGATATCTGTGTGAATAATCTGTAGAATTCATGCGCTTCGTTTGGCATCTTTCTTAATTTGCTTTACATATTTTCCTTTTATGCAATCTCTATATTGTTCTAAATCTGAGAGCTCTAATGGAGGAAGAATATCATTCTTAACTAGTCTTTCTATTATCTCCCTCGAAATATGGCCTAAACGACAGTGCCATAATTTTAACAACGCATCGTGAGCTCTCTTTCGTTTTCTGTTTGCATTGTTCGATGAGGATACATTCTCATTCACATCACATACGGAATTCACATTTTCACGAAGTGATAACAAATAAAGCTCGTCTTGTCGGAAGGCAAGACCAATACATCTATTATTAAACAATATCTGACATTTGCCATTTTCAAAATGGCAATCATAACCATCATGGTCCAACTTTGATACACTAATCAAGTTTCTTTGCAAAGAAGGTACATAAAGAACATCTCTAAGAAAAAGTATAAAGCCATCAGCAAGCTCTAGCGGAAGATCGCCAATGGCCTCAACATCTGCTTGTACTCTATTTGTGACTTTAATGAAACTTTCGCTTCTTTGCAAAGTTCTCATCGAACGAAATCCCTGTAATGAATTAGCAATATGAATAGTTGCACCTGAATCAATACACCAAGTAGATTTTCAAAACTTGACATACAAAGATTCATTTACGAACGTAATAATGTTCTCATCTTTATTTTTCATAATCATCTTTAAGAAATCGGGACAATTCTTCTTATAATGTCCTGTCTTCTTACAGTAGAGACACTGGTTTTTATCCACTGGGAATTGCTTGTTCTGAGACTGTTGCATGGGACCCTTTCTAGATGACTTGGAGGAAGAGCTATTATTATAGTTCTTTTTCTTATCTTTTAGGTAGTTGACAGTACCACCCTGTGAAACTTTTATTCTTTCCTCCTCCTGCACACACATGGCTATGAGCTTTTCTAAATCCTATTTTCAGGCTGTATGTTGCAATTAACAACAAAGGTGTCAAACTCTTTGGGCAAAGAAGTAAAAATTAAATGAATAAGAAACTTATTCTTGAGTGCCAAATCCATTGGTTTGAGCTTAGATGCTAATTTGCTCATTCTCAGTATGTGCTCTCTAATGCCACTGTCGCCACCAGAGTATCTTTCTGTAACCAGCTGCTTGATCAGCTAGATTGCATATGTCTTTGAAGAGCCAGTGAACTGACTCTTTATTCTTTCTAGGTACTCTATGACCGTGTCACAGTCTGAAATTGAACCCACTATTGCAGGCTCAATTGTATTCTTTATCACAACCAAACATTTCTTATTGGCTGTGACCCACTTTCTATATTCAAGGTCAAAAGACATCTTTACGGGAGCAAAGTCCCGCTCTCTGTTCTGCCATGCAGCATCAGTCTTATCTGTCTCCCTCACCGGTGCCACAAGTTCTTTGGGACACGGTGTGGTGAATACCCAGTCCACCTCAGCCAATATGAAAGCCAAGTCGATCTTTTTCTTCCATTCAAAGTAGTTATCCCCTTTTAGAGTGGGGATCTCTTTGATACAACTCATCAAGTTGTATCCGCCTGAAAACACAATTCAAATAGTGTGAGAACACAAATAATAACAACAACAATTGCATGTCTTAGTTCAACGTTGGTCAAAATTAAAACATACAATTGTTCTCTACATTAATTCTACATCATCGTTGGGCAGAAATAGAATTAATGCAATACAAAACATCATAATATTGCCATTAATCAACGTTGGTCAGAATAACAACAATATTATAATCAATTTAAAACATATCCATTTTCAAAATTAAATTCTCCCGTTGGTTCGAATTTAATAATGAAAATTACATCTTTAAATATGCAGCGAAAAAAATGAACTCATTTTCTTGAATTTTTCCCATAGGAAAATCCTCTTTTCTATTTTCTTTTAGCCAATTTCCATTGTCCAGGAAATAAAAAAAATTTACTGGAAAAGGAAAAAACAAAATTGACTCAAAAGCAAGATCGACTATTCAAATTCGGTAAGCAAAAGCAACCCGGCCCACCTCATTTCATGACGCGCGCGCACCCGGCGCGCAACACAGGCTCTGGGCGCCAATGCGCGTTGTTGTCACACATCCCTTTGAGCCGGCAACAGCCCACTCAATCTCAAATTGTCACACGATCCGACGCCACCATCGGTGGCATCGCGCAGAACAAAACCGGCGACCATATGATGGCGCTTTTTGAACCCTAGCGCCATTCGCCTTCTCCACTCTCTGTCTTCTCGCCGCTCTCTCTCTCTCTTTCTCTCGGTAGCGACCATATAAAGACCGAGCGACTCAAGCGGCGAATCGGTGGATTCTGGCGCCGTCGCCCGGGCCCCTCGTCGGCGTCTTGGCCGAAATGGCCCCAGCCGACCCTTTTTTTTTCCCCGCACGGCGGCGTGCTGACGGCGAGGTAAACCACCCTTTTCCCCTCTTCCCCTTTCGGTTTCTTTGGTTCTTGTGCTTGGATTTCATCCGATTTCCCGATTAGGGTTAGGGTTAGGGATTGGGATTTTACTGTTTATCTTACCGTGATTTCTCCATGGGTTTGAGTTTCGGTTTTGACATGAACACGAGCCATGTTTCTTTAACCCAGTTAGGTTTAGGGATCGAAGCCTATTCTTTTCTCATATCCGAAAGGATCGAAGCTAGGGTTCAACCGAACCCTTTGTCGGCCGAAGCCCCCTTCTTCTTTTAGATCCGCACTGGATTTCACTTTTCCCCGAACCCGATCTAGGGTTAGGGTTAGAGTTCTTTCATCTGAATCCAAAATCGAATCTATCTACTTCTTTCTCTTTCTAAACGGTTCACCCGTTCTAGATCAAAACCCTAGAAAACAAGCTGTGGTACCATTGTTAAACTATTTGAATCGTCTAGGTAGGGATCCAGACAGGGTGCATGATAGATCAAAGACCTAGAACTGGTTCTAGTACTACCAGAGGAAAAACAGAGAGGGATAGTTGAGATCTTAGGACCTGACACCGCGGAAGGGGTAGATCCGAAGCCTCCATCGGGTTCATTTGGTGTAGGTCATGCACGGGCAAATGATGACGGTCGGGAAGAGTCGATGAAGTCCGGCGACGGGGTGAGGTGCAGTGAAGCCGACGGTGATGACGGTGGCGTCTTCCCGTCGCTGGCTGCGCACCCTTGCTAGATCAGACTTAGGGTTTGTTGGTGGGGCGGATTGGCTCACGGTGAACCTCGTACCTCGAGCCGCCGACCCCCACCACTTTATATAGCGCAGTGCGACAGGAGCCCACCAACCATGTAGGATTGGACACCCCCGATCAGGACACGTGACCAAAATCCAATAGACCGTTGAGCTTATTGGCTGGAAGAAATACATAACTGGGTGTCCCTGCTCTTCGGGGCTGCGACCTCGCTTGTTTGATTCATTTGGCCCGTGACCGAGCCCGGCTCGCCAGCTGCAAAAGACCCTCTCTCTCTCTCTCATGGCTCCCAGGCAACGAAGAAAAGGTCTGTTTCTCGGTGGCCAGGCCGGCGTGAGCGCTCGCGTGCGGCTTCGAGTCACCTCCCGAGTCCGTCTGTTTCACCCACCGCTCCCCACCGCTCCTTTTCTTCTCCGTTGCGCGATGCCGCCCCCGCTTCCGGCATATCCTGCTCGAGTAATCAGCACATGGTGGCCACATCAACGTCACGCTCGGCGAAGGCGAGGACGAACATGTCGAAGAACCCCGACGCAACGCCGGGCGTGGCCCAGAGGTACGACACGGTGGCGAGCGCGAGCGCGACGCCGGGGACCGTGATGGTGAGCCTGTCGTTCTGGGGGAGCTGCCTCCCGCACGCTCGCCACCGCGTCTGGCCGCGCGCCGTCAACGCCAGTGCCGAGTCCGCCGCCGCCTTCATGGAGGTGCTCGCTGCGCTGTGCCTGTGCCTGTGCGACTGCGAGCTGCGTGTGGGGAGCAGGGAGCCGCGGCTGCGCGTGCAAAGCGGCGTGGCTACGCAGGACGCGGTGGCCGCGCGGGCGAGCAGCGAGCAGGGGTGGCCTAGCATGTGTTCGACGAAATGACTGAGTAAAGAGCAAGGGTAGGATGGGTGGTAACGCTGCCTCTTCCTGGATGCAAGGTAGCCGTATCCACTGGTACAGGTAAAACAAACACAATCTCAACACAGCCTGGCTCATTTGGTCTAGTGAATCAAAAAGCATATGTGCTCTCTGGCCTGGTCGTGGATGGCCTGGGGCTGACCGACAGGACGAGAACAGGTCCACTATTGCAGAGCTAGAGCCATGCTATACCCGCTATCTGGAATCTTACGCGAGACGCAACAGCGGTTCATGTGAAAATTGCGAGTTGGATGACAATTCAAAATTAGGCTTGAGAGTTCAGAATTTCTGGAACTGGAATACTGGATGGCTTTTTTTATGGTTGGGCCGAGATACACAGCAACCTCTACAACGGCCCACTAGTTGGGCCGAGATACACTACCACCTCTACGACAGCCCATAGTGGCCTGACTTATATAGGTTTTATTAGGTCTGGCAATCGTCGTCGCGTTCGCGTACCACGACTCTCCAGTCTCCACTGCTAATCTGTTGTTCCTGCGGCGCCGTGGCTCACCCACCGTCCAGCACAGCACACAACAGGCACGGCACCGTCGGCACGTAGTCACGAACTCATCCGTGGCCGGTTGCAATCGGCACCGCACGTAGGCACGTACTCAATACTCATCGCGATCATACTCAATACTCATACGCACGTGCGGGGAGTGGAGCAGAGCAGGAGAAAGAGGAGGGAAGGAAGAAGACATGTGGGCTCCATGTGTCAGCGGTTCAACCCTTCTCGACCCATAAACTAACCCCTAAGACTATCTCCAACGATACTGACCCAAATAGAAGACTCATTGGCTAGAATGCGTCGCGCCGTGGAAAAAGGTCACGTACCTATTTTCGTTGTTTTCCAACAGGAAACGCAAAAGAAGATGCACTGACAGCTTCCTCTCACTCTCAGCAGTGCATGCAGGGCGTGGTCCCCACGGGTCTGGTCTCCCTTTCGCTCAGCAACGAATGGACAGGAGCAAATGGAGCGTACGAGCGGCGCCCAGATGCATGCAAGCACGGGCCCCACACGCACTATCCTTCTCACACGAACTGCATAGCACCAACAATCGGTCAACAGCGCGTGACCCATTGGCCGGAGCATGCGACGTATATTTGGGCTGCGCCTCGCCTCGCACGCATTTTGCGTCCTCGGTATGCCTATCTCGTTGGAGGCTATTTTTTTGCGCTAAAGTAAGGTGAAGCACGCATTTTGGGTTTAGGTATCGGTATGGGTAGGCCGTTGGAGATAGTCTAACCAAACAAGAAATGGGTCCAACCCATCCCTAAAAACTCGGTTAGACACAACCCAACCACTTGGTCCTCGAACCAAACACATAGCTAATGTACCACCACTCCAACTCGGCGCCTCTTGAGTCTGAGTCCCTCGGCTCGGCGAACACGCGAGACCCGACCATTTCCCGCAGGAACCAGATGCCACGGGCTAGTGAAGAAGCTACTAGTGGCAGCACCTTTGTTATATGCTAATGAAGACGAAAGATTTATTCCATGCCCAGGAAATGGTTACAGTTGCTAAAGGGTAATTAGCCTTTTCTTTACTTTCGTCTTACAAAAGTGGTATTACAGGTATTAGGAGCACTATATCACAACACTATTTACATCTATGTATGGTCCCGTTCTCAGGGACGATCCCTTCGTATCACTTCACTTGCTCATGAAAGCGATGCCCTTCTGAATGCTCTCGCGCAGTTCCTTCTTTGCCGCTTCCAGACCAGCTCTGTTTCCCCAGAGATCGAAGAAGCATTAGGCCAATGAATTTCGGAGATCGAGAGAATTCATCATCTAACAATTTTGACGCAATGGAACCACATTATTAAGCTACTGAGTGTGTATAGCAAGGGTACCTCTCAAAATCATTCAAAGGTCCAAGAGGGAGGATCTCCTCGGCTCCACCACGGCCAAGCCTCACTTTTGTTGCAAAGAACGGCAGTTCTGTAACCTGATGCCAAATGCAAAAACAGAAATAAGTACAGCCCCCCGTGAACTAAGATAAGGTCGATGTTAGGATGGTATGCTATGGACAAAATATACAGATTTCGTGTGAGGATACCTCGGATGCAACATATGAGCATTCCACAATGCCAGCTTCGCCCCGCATAGCTCGCAAGCATGCATCAGCGAATTTTGCAGCAGCAAAAGCCTGAGGTTTTTCTTTTGTTAGTATAGAGAGTAAACTTGGTTACCTAAAGTAAGCTATCATGTATAAGTATAACCTACCATTGACAGAGTCGCAGAACCTGATCCAGCCTTTGCCTGAAATCAATGAAAACAATATTCAGTACTCATACATTTTTTTCAGTTAACTGGAAATTACTTCAGGAAGCAGTCAAAATGGACTTGTGGCAGTTTCACACATGCATAATGCATGAGGATATGCAACTCCAGGTATGCAATTTTGAGATGACATCATCAGTTTCATTGTGGTTGTTTAAAGCCATTCTGTTACATTTGTGATATTTTCCTCAAACTCATATTAAATATTGAGTAGAACTAATGTGTAATGCATAAGGGCATGCAAAAGGGTATGCCGTAGGCCTTCAGCTAGAAGAATCTCATTGTTTATCAATGTTGCAACCTCAGCTAGCCCTCAAAACTCAAGCATGGTCAAATACTTAGTCTTGCTGTCACGACCCCCGGCAAATAAAACAAGTGCATTCAACGGAAGTCAATCAATTTATCGACATAAATCATATATACATGACAGCACTGAAAGATGGATTTGTGCTATATATTTCTCCACTAGCAACATCACTATGTAAGCTTTATGCAGAGAAAATAATACATCATAATACGTATCAGTTAGAGATGCATGTTCACCAAATGTTTGATGGACAAAAAAATCGATCATGTAAAGCTCATCTCTGTTTTGGCACAGAGAATATCAGATGAAGAGCTTAGACTAGAGCAGAGCAATATTCGTTATACCGGTTCGGTTAGACCCAACTTCAGGCAGTAAAGTCAAATAGCATTGTACCTCCACAACTTCTGTGCCACCATTCTGTATGCGGTCTGTCAAATATTTGATTTCATCCTGAGTGAATGAGCTTGGAGGTGTGATCTGCAGATAATCAGGTTTTAAATCAGGACCTAGTGTCATAGAAGCTAGATAATATTTCAATGTTAACATTCCCATGTGATGAAATCAGAATATGATCAGTACCTGGGAGAGGAGGGGCAATATAGTTACCCCAGCATGCCCACCAACAACAGGAACATTGACATCTCTTGGATCAACTCCAAGCACTTCGGCCTACAATATGTAATATGAAGCAGAATGCAAATTACCAATTGAGAAGTACAACGACCCTACTACTACTAGAGTACACAAGTATTCCAGGTTCTTAAGAGATGCTAAGTATTAGGCTTCATACCACAAAGGTGTTGGCCCTTGCAACATCGAGCGTTGTCACTCCAAGAAGACGCTTGGGATCATAAGTTCCAGCTTTCTTGAAAACCTCAGCAGCAATGGGGACAGTTGAGTTCACTGGGTTGCTGATTAAATTCACAATTGCATAAGGACAGCATCTTGCAACGCCTTCACAAAGTGTACGAACAATCCCAGCATTTTTGTTGAATAAATCATCCCTTGTCATTCCTGGTTTCCTAGGCAGACCAGCGGGTATGATTACAAGGTCCATTCCTGTAAGTGCTGCATCAAGCTGCTGTGCCCCAAGGAAGCCACGGACCTGAAAAGATGTTTTACCAGAGTTATTATCTGGACTAAGTGGATGTTCACATTTGAAGTTTTTTGCACCTAGGTAATTTTGGCCAAGGAAACAGTGTATAATCAATTTAAGCTGTTTGAAAAATATTGGAGTTCGAATACATTTTTTAAGAGATAGTCTGTTTACACTTTTTTTTCTTTTCAAACTCCAGAGAGTAATTGCATTTTTTTCCCTTTTCTTTGTGCTCTGTTTCTTTTAGGCATTACAGACACCAAGACCTGAACTATATACTCAATTGGCATATGTAACATAAATATAAACAGAAGTTCTAGTTGGTTTTCCTTTTAAGTACAACAACAATGTTGTGAACGGTGTTCTGAAAACATCAGTAGCCTAACAACTACAATCAGCGTAACATAATGATTCACACTAACAAGTAACATAATAATAACATAACGAGCTGGTGAATCCAACTAGAAAACTAAAAAGCCGCAGAGTTGATCAATTGGGTGCCTATTGTGACAAATCAATTAATTAAGTGCCTAACCTGCCAAATCCATCAGTTGGCACATAGAACAATCAAACCCTGCTGTCTTGCTGATTGTATAGCAGCACCACAGAGGTTGTAGCCATCACTCCCGAAAGTACAGTACCACGGATCGAGTGCGAAGCACCAGGGAGGGGGAGAAAGAGGGGGAGAAAACGTTACCACAGTGCTGGTGTCCATGTGGCTGATATCGGCGGTGACCCCGGGCGTGTTGACGACGTCGTAAAGGTGCAGCACGGACAAGAGAGGATTCATCTTCATGAGCAGCGACAGCGGCTGTCCGATCCCGCCCGCGGCGCCCAGGATCGCGGCCTTGAACCCCGGCGCGCCGCCCTTGGCACGGCACACCGCGGGCCTCAGCGCGGACGCGCCCGCGCCTTCCTCCATCTGCGGGCGCTGGGGGTTCAGGTGCGCGGCGACGCGGGCGAGGCGGTGGGAGGGAGCGTTGGCGTCGGGCTGCATGGCGGCTCCTAGTTCCGCGGAAGCTCCCGGTGTTGATTGGCGCGATGCGGATGGGGTTTTGACGGGGAAAAGCTCCCGCGTTTTTGGATGGTTCCGCCGTGCGTTATCCGGTGGC